GGGGGGGGGGGGGGGGGGGGGGGGGGGGGGGGGGGGGGGGGGGAGCCAGGCTCCGAGGAGAAGGGGTAGACGGAGGTTTCCCCACCCTGGAATTATGCAAAAACTAAGAGTAGGTTGTAGCACCGCTACTTTGAGTTACTTTAGTTTTATTTATGCACAGCTCCGGGCTTTTGCAGCACTACTGCCTGTTCCGTTGCGGGAGGGGGCGGGGGGGGGGGCGAAAGACCCATCGCCCTTCCCTTGGATCTACTATGACCTGATCAACCGATTTGAGTAGTGTTACTGGGAAACTCGCATAGGTACGCCAGGCTACGCAATGTGATGAATCGATATTTTGCTACGTTTGAAATATCGCTTTTTTTTCAGACTGCACCGACTGCAGAAAGAGAAAGATGGTTGAGGTACAAGTGGCGTCTGTTGAGGTAAATTTGATTTTCAAGTATCGTCGGAGGAATAGAAACGGGAGGGGGAGTGGGGCGGAGGGGACCAGAGGAGGGAACAGGGGAAGGAGTCTTTGATTTCGAAGACACAGTTGACCTCGTTTTGTATCAAAAATTTTGTTGCGGTGTTCTATTTTCCACGCTTTTTTCGGCTTTGAGAAAATATTGATTTTTTTTTCAGAATGCTGGATTGGCTCTCAGCCAGGAAGTGCAGACTATCAGCAAAGAGGTAAATTTTTGATTGCTTCAGTTGCACTAAAAGATGAGAGTATTTATTTTAACTCATAACTAGCACTCGCATTTTTTCGTTCGATGGCATTCTCTTCGATTCGCCCCGGCAGCTGCACAGTGTAAGGGCCGGTACTAGTAGATATAAGTAAATAAAAGTAAAGAAAACACTCATATTTTCATTCTATGCTGGCATGATTTTTAGTACAGGTTCGGAGGCTGAGCAATATTTGGTGCCATAATTTAAATTACACATCCTTGTATGTTTGAATTTTTGATAAAAAGTAGGAAAAAAAATGCATTTGCGGTGAGAAGCCGATTGTAGCAACCAGGTTGGCCCTGGAAGCCTAAATGGCGAAGGAGCGATAGATTACAGCATGATAGAACAGTATAAAAAAAGGAGGTAAGAGCGAGGTAAGACGTTTCAGTCCATTAAGTCATATACATCTTAACTCAACATCGCGACAGGACCTCGTCAGTGTAAGGTCATACTGCTTAATGGAATAGAAAAAGAAAAGAGAAAGACGACAGAAAGAAATAGAGGGGAAAACGATATGATTGTGGGATAAGGAGTAAGGGTAGGGTGGAGAAGGAAGGGAAAAGGAAGAATGGAGAAAAATATTTTAAAAGAGGAATTTTTTTTTTTTAAAAAATTTTTTTAAGTTCTGTGAAATCAATGCAAAGGCC